CCCATGTGAACAACCCTTTGCAACCCACCCGAAATCGGCTAATAAAGATCCAAAGGTAGATGGGTGCCGTTCGATTCAATAAGCTTGATGCCCCCTAGCCGATAAACATTCATGAGCCCCGTGGGGGGCGCAGGCCAATTTGTAAATGGGCTGGCACGTGTCGCCTACTACCGAAAAATAGTCGCCGGAATCGCGGTAGGCGTGTGTCGACCGCCGTCATATTGCGATTTGATAGATTTTGTGTGATTTAGACCAGGAACATTTGCAACGAAACACAAATCAATTTGGGTTCGATGTCGTTTTTAACTGTGCAAGTTGATGCAAACGAAAGGAGATTTTTAGGGATTTGGCCGGCAAAGTTTTCCCTTTAACTTTAGCCAGTTGCCACCGAACCCAAAATTAACGTTTCATTGATTCCGTGACTCAACAGTTTTGCGCTTCGAGCCCTGAGAACAAATTAAACAGAGTCCGAACTCACGTGCACAGGTGAGCTCTGGCACGTGCCTGAAAGCGCATCGCCACGTGACCACTTGACGGCCGATCGATCAATTCCCTTATCACCCCGTTTAGCCTAAGCCGGAAAACGTGCCCTTAAACGCGCTAATCCCTTGATTTCTACCTGCATGTTAATCAGATTCGATTGGGCGACTGATCAATATGGATCAAACGCGTCAGCTTCGCGTAGAACAAGTCGAATGAGGCCAAATCTGGTCGGCTAGGAGGATGGGACCAAAACCAGCTCGTCACTAAAGAGAGAGAGAACTGTAAAACCCGTCAACCCGTCAATTGCCTGCGGATATTTATAAAGTTCTCAGGACATGTAGGCGACACCCTTGCCCCCCGAAAGACACACTTTGGGGCTTAATGACAGTTTAAATGAGGCCCCCAAAGCAGCAAATGGGGCTTATTCGGTCACGTGACGACGATTCGAGCTTGTGGGCAAATAGAAGTTTCAATGCCGAGTCTTCCGCCCGGCCAGTTTGGATTGATCGTTGGTCATTTGGATCAAAGCCGGCTTTTGTGAGAAACGAGGCGCGTTTGTTCCATCTCGGGGCGCTCTATTTCGGCACAGTTAAGACGAGATCTGCTCCATTGGCCCGGAAGCTGAGTTTTCCTCGATTTCTGGTATGTTCTTCCATATGCCCTTGTGGTTGACCCAGCGATTTTTCCATTGCGTCACCACAAATGGTATTTTTTTCTCCAAAGTGTTGCGGATCGAATTCCTGCCAGACCATTAAGCAGGAAAAAACCTGCACTAAAGCAGGGTCTGCACAGCAGCTGCTGCCGTTTAGTCACGGATGTCGCCTTGTGACGTCGTGAGGGCGCCTTTAAAGCTGACACGACAATTTGTCGCATTTATTTTGTCACACAGATCACCAGTGGCGTGCCCCGTTGCATCTTAACTCAATGGGGTGATTAAAAAATTACCCTCTTCCCTCTGGGTAGGAGTCTGGGGATTTCACATCATTTACTCATTATTTGCTTCTTCTGATACTTTGCCTAATAATAAATGTTAAATTTGCACTGATGGGGGAAAAGCCGCATGGACCTGGGCAGATGAAGAACGCCACCACACAATGTGAAGATTTTCTTTGCAAAATTGTCAATCAGGCAGCCTCTGCGCCCCTGTTTTAATCACCTGTTTGTGCCAAACAGGGCTTTTGATCGTCCCTTCCCGTGTTTCACGCCCGATTTTCGGGCTTTTCGGGGCGTTTTTGTCCCGTATAATGGAAATACGTAATCTACCCTTCTAGATAACGATAGCGGAACATATTGACTGTCAACCTGTATTTGTCGTGCGCGATAATCGGAATCCCCTTGATCCCCAAATAATCCCGTTGGGTTCTAGTGGAAATTAGCGTGAACTCAAAGTGCGCCTACCAAAAAAAAATCTGATGGATTCAGGTCAGGAGATCGCTTGGGTCGCCAACTGAGCAATACACGTCCCCATCATTCTGTCATATTACTGCTTATTGCTATAAACAGGAATGATTATCTTGCTAATCTTTATCGCGGGCTTGAATGCGAACTCCCATATAATCCAGACTTAGAGCGCCATGGGGGGGCCACATGCGAAGCTGCCCCGCTAGGATACGTCATCTGGATTACCATCGGGATTTGGAGCTGCTGGGGATTTCGTTAACCTAACCTAGTTTGGSTGCATATAAATTTCATTTTTAATCAAAGAGATGTGAAATTTGTGATGATAAAGTGCGCTAGGGGWTTTCAAATCAGTGCCTGCTAAAGGTGCTGTTTGTTWCTGGGTCGAAYTTYTAGGGCTAATTTTTTCTCGTCATTTTCCCTCATTATYTGTTAACGACTCGGGAAAGTTTCAACTGGATACTTTGTTTGGTTTGAAAGTWGCGATTTTTTKAAGAAGGCTTAKTCARTGTTTGTGATTRTTCTGAAAAATCAGTTCCTATCTGGACGCGACTKAAWTTTATC